TAGAAAGTGTAGTTTACAACCCCATTTTAATGAGATGATCAACCTTGAGTTGAGCTTTCTGTAGCTTTATCCTGGTCTTTGAAGACTATGTTCAAGCCCTACAAGATTAGGATGACTATATTAAAGTTAAAGCAGTTTTGGTTGTGTTGTGCCCAAGATCAAGAATAACATGGCAAAGTTTTAACTGTAGGTTGAATCTGTGTATGAAAAGGGAACCCAGAGTAACCATTTTGGCAACACGCTTTTTAAAATTTACACTTTTACTTCATAGTGACAAGTTTTTCAAAGAAACAGTATTGCAAATTAGAGTCTAATGACTTTTAACATATTTGTCTAATAAACTGGGTTGTGTATCACCCACAACATTCACTACTTTGTTGACTGAATCAAGTGACCACACGCCTCTTTCAATTCCAAAGAACACAGAACATTTTTGCTTTAATCAGAAGCTGTAAGAGTAGAAGAATCTTAGAAAAAGAGGAACAGAAAAAGAAAAAGTCTCTTTGTTAATGAAGATAAAAGTAATGCATCCATTTTGCATGCAATCACAATTAGTCTCACCACAACCATCTGAAAGATCCTTCCAGAGAAGGGAGATCACTTGACCTCCCATCTGTGACCGAATCCTGTCTTTCCATTAGGTGATCTCCGCAACCATAACGTCTATGTCTGCTCGAGCTGGACACAGATGCTTAAAAAAGCAGAGAGCATCACAAAGAGCTTACAGACAAGAAGTCACACGGCGCCTGTTATTGAAAGGATCCATTATTCTGACTAACCGTGCTGAAGAATCTTATGCATATGGTGTTAATTTCAAAAAACAAACTTGAAACAACAACATAAAAAACTTCCATGTGGCCGGAAGTGCACAATTTTGAATCTCGATGTGAATGTACACGATGTGATGAAGTCAACACCTTTAACGCCTCCTGTGAAGTATCCATAGTATACAAACAGATAATATATTAATAGAATATAACATAGTTGTAATTGTATAAAATAGCTATACTTGTTGAAATTACCGAGCACATAAATTAACCTTAAATCTATTGGATTATCTGAAATTTGTCATGTCTTTGCAGGAATCTTAAACTTAAACATAGACTGTTGTGTGCTTTAGTAGTGATCTGTTTATCAAAAGGCAATCAGAAGACTTTGCTTGTCCTTCAATCCAAAGAAGCACTTTGATTGGCTGTTTCCTGATAATCTACCTTAGAAAATGTATTATTTGGTGCAGCAATGGTGGTCAGCAGTAAGTAGCATTAAATAGTTTAAGCTATTAGAAGGGGTGGGGTGACACAGTGATTCTGTGGTTAACATAAGTTAGATCCCTGCTGTATGTAGTATTTCAATGTTCCTCTTACAAGAATTGAAAATTCAGTTCTTTTACTTCTTAACAAGGACAGAGATCTGGACATTTGACTGCACCATTTTGAATAGTGAATTTTAGTGTTTGTTGATCTGGAAAGGCAACATTGCTCAACCTGTATACATTAATATTAATACAGTACTTTCTGTGTTGGGAAGTCCCATCAAAGGTATCTTGCTTCCAGCCAACCAGAAGCCTCAAAATAATTCAACAGGCAGGAGAAAGTGAATGTTAATGTTGCAGTGTCTTCTCCTTAGCACAAATACTGGAAACAGGTAGAAGCAGCTAGCAAACCTGTTCTCTTAAAGCAGCACAGTGGATCAGTGGTTAGCACTGTCACCTCACAGCAAGACGGTCTTGGGTTTGATTTGTGTGGGTTTTCTCTGGGTGCTCCAGTTGCCCCGAACATAAGTTTATGTATGTTAGGTTAATTCTCCAGTCAGAGCCCATGAACAAAGGCACTGGCTCAGAGTTGGTCATATACTGCTCCTATACTTAGGATGGCTTAAATGCAGAGTAATAGTTTCACATTGCACTGTGTATGATTGTATAAGACAAATGAAGCAGATTTTATTCTACCCTGTAACTCCAATGTAACCCATCTGCATCAGGTGATGTATTGTTAGGAATGAAAATGTCCACGTAAGGAGGTGGTTGGGTTGGGATGGGTCAAACAAACACTGAGGAGACTGCAGTTTGTGTCTTGTGTGAAACCAAAAGTCTCATAACATTACGTATGTGACTTGCGTCAACTTGTGACTCAATGAAAGAGCATTTTAGGAGAAGAAATAGCCGGCACAAAATGCTCATTTAACAATGAAAAGTGTTTTTTACACTTCAGTTCATGTGTGGATTAAACAAACCAGATTTAACAGTCATAAGTGAGCTTTAGAGGTTCTGGTAGGTCGAGTCTGTTACCTCTGAACAAAGCCAGGCTAGCTGTTTTCAGTCTTGTGCTATAAGCTAATCGGCTGCTGGCTGTAGCTTTATATATATATTTAACAGATAGAGTGGAATTAACCTTCTTATCTTATTATCAACCAAAAGGAGAATAAACATCTTTCCCAAAATGTCAGAGTATTCCTTAAATTCCTGTGATTTGTCATTGTGTCACAAATACTAAAGTATGAACTTCAGTGCACAACCAGGTACAGAGTTGGTAAATAAGGAAATAGCTAATACATGCAGTGTCTATCAATTTATTTATTTTATTATCATAAACTTAACGCTACAAACAAAAATTAAAAATGATACGGAAGAAAACATATAAAGATGTTTGGGACTATATGAACCCACAACCTCATATTATTTAAACTGTTGCTTTAATTCAGTTTACAGAGGAAGTGAGAGGTGTTTGTGAGATGTAAGATGTAAGTAATGTAAGAGCAAGATCAGTGCTTAGAAGAAAGACTATTAGTAGCCTCTTCCACATAATCTAATTAATTTCAGACATCTTTGACTACAGTGTCTGGAGCAATCCTTCTTCGTTTAAAGCAAGACTTCTCTTGCTTTTTCCAAGTAAAATATCTGGTCATCTGAGCGTCTCTAACTGAACTGTCACAGATGATTAGAGGAGGAACAACTCGTCTTGGTATCCCAAAGAGCATGGGGTCCTCACGAGAGAGTGAGCCACAACTAGAATCAATGTCACCGTTCAGATAATCACGCATTGCCGATTCACCATGTAAGATGCATTTCGTTTGCTGCCTAACTGTGTAAAAGCCTCTATTTATTTTCAGATTTGTCCACAGAAAAAAACGTGGTCAACTCAATATTGACGCCTTCCTCTTCAAATTTCAGCCCTGTTTGTTGAAAAACAAATGTTTTGTGTTACGTTGTTTGTCTGGATGCTGAAATTATTTCTGTGACAAACCAAACTGACAAAATTTTTAAATCTTTTTCAACTAATAACCTTGTAATCGTGTTATTCTTTTCAGTTAAAGATGTGTTTGAATAGTGTGACATAAGTGACGTTGATTTGTTGACTATACTATTAAGTACTCCTCATTTTGGTAAGTTTGTCTTTAGTATTTGTCATGTTTACCTTGAAAAATTGTAAAATAATTTGCATTTACATAATTTACGGTGCTTTATTAATACTTCCTCATTTAGATAAGTTAGTTAGACATTAACCATTAACAACAACCTTGTATATATCATTTACTGAGAGCATGTGAGATATATTTGATTGAATTAATTAAAAGAAATCAATTGATTCAATTAAGAGAAAAATATGTAATTTACAAGTATTGATAGGTAATGTGTGTTTTCAATCAGTTAAAAGTCATTACTGGCTTTATGTATGAAGACTCACACATGCACAGTAGAATATTTTCAGAATTACAAACAGGGCCCATCTCTTTTGTGTGTCTTCAGTGACCTCTCCTCACAGGACCATGTGTTTGTCACACACACACACAGGGACACACACAGAAAAACAAGCTATACACAACAGGAGTGTGAAATCACCATGTTCCAAGACTGGGGGGGGTAGTTGGGCTCCCAGTGGGCAGAAATGTCTGTGCACTCGGACAACATCAGGCAAAGCAATGACCCCTGAATTCATGAACGCACTCAGGAAATCAGGGTTTCATCTCTGCTGGGGTCAACAGCGGAAACTGATTTAAAACACAACGCACACACACAACGCGAGTAGAACAGAATATGATATTCTAATACAAAGCCATAACATTGGCAACAATATCATTTTTGTACTGCTTTTGATATTATCTTTGGACCAGCTCAATTATCTAAAACTAGAAACTTTATATAAGTTCTTAATTTAAGTACATATCCACACATTTTAGGCATTTATCTACATCCTATGTAAATACTTCATACATATAATATACCTGTTTGATCACTGAGTGCAAGAGTAGAATAAATGTGGCTGCTGCACACTAATAATGCCCTGAAATCAGTCTTTTTATATTTAAACAATAATTTTCATTCTAAAAAAGTGAGGCAGTTTTAAATTACTTGAGCATTTCCATTCAATGCTACTTTATATGCCTATATTGGTAATATTTAATATTGTATAAATATATGTATTAGTTTTACATTTATTTCAGAGATGTAGTTACTAGTTTAGGATTTGGCATACAAAAAAGATCTGTTAATAAAATATGACAAGTTAAACTGCCCAACAGTAAAGCAGCCTAGGTTAAATGAGCTCCACCTACATGTTAATGCACTAATGATAACAATACAAACATATAATGAAGTAACAGTTGCCAATAACACTCAAAAGGGGTAATTCTGTTTAACAAGTAGTCTTACTTCAACTTTTGATATTCTTAGAACATTTTGTTGATAATATGTGCTTTTACCTAACATTTTGAATGCATGATTTTAACATATTAGTGTATTATTACAAATGCTATACAAAAATAAAACCACAGTATTAAAACTTGTCCATCTATCTTTTCACTGACATTTTCAAGACATAAATTCCTAATTTTTCCAGGCTGAAACGTTTCGTTCACATTACAAACTTCTCATATATTCTCATATACACAGTCAGTGTGCAGCACAAAGTGAAGTAGGCCTTCAGTGGGAGCGCAGTGCAACGTCGCCATCTAGCGTCACGGCGACGCAATGACGTGGAGGCAGTTGGCCGGCAGCTACGTAACTTCCTGTTTAAACATGGCCGCCCGCTGACAAATGTCACGTTACTTCAGCTGCTGAAAACATAAAGTTATTAACGCTATTAACGTTATTACTTCACCAGCCGTCCACCGGATTCAAAGGGCTGACACCGGAGGAGATTTAGCTTCACTTCGTTCAACATCCACGGAGGTATTTCTCTGACTTTTGGCTCATTTCTAAACAGCGCTGTACTGTTAGCCGCCAGCTAACAGCTACAGAGCTCTACTGTTGACATTTAATGACACTTTCAGGGTTATCGGACATGTGGTGCATTTATAACAGTGTGACGCGCACTGCTGGTGTTGTTTCTTATGTGCACTTGGATTTAAAACGTGACTTTTTCTGTGTGTTGCAGGGTAATCCAGTCAGCACCATGGTTCATTTATGTGAGTAGCTACACATTGTGAACGGCCTCATCCTGATGGTGAACTTGTGTTTGTCTGGTGGCAGCAGGGACCCTGAACACAAAGGCAGAGGTTTAGCAAGAGAAGCAAACATAACATGAAGAATAAGTGTAATCATACGTTCAGCATAAAGGCATCCTCAGAAATATGACTGCTTTTTAAGTTAGTGAACAAAAACTAGCTGGAGTGAAGTAAGTTTTATTAATGACTATAGTACTACAACTAATAATTATTTCTTACTAGATTTATTACTTGATTTATCTGTTCCATCTATGAAATGACAGAAATAATGAAAAATGCCCATTACAACTTCAGAGACATAAAGGTGACTAATAAATCTTCACCAACAGTCCAAACCCCAAACATATGTAATTAGAAATTACTTAAAATGAGCAGATCTATACATTTGAGAAGCAAGAAAGGAGACAATAGTTGCCATTATTTATAATATTATATAAATATACACTCAGTTGCCAATTCATTAGGTACACATAGCTAAAATGAACGCAGTCTAACACAACAGTCCTTTTTTAAATCCTACCTCTATGAAGGTAATAATGCTTAGTTGTTGAGATGTGCTGATTTAACTATTTGATCATTTTATTAGAGGTAGTTTCAGGTGTTTTTGTTTTGATTTTTATTGCTGTATACTTCGAAGTGTTTCTTATATTTTGTCCACCCCATATCAATAAAAGTAAATTTAACTAACAAAAACTAAACATTATAAATGTTGGATTTACAGTAGAGTGCAGTAGTCTTAGCTAGGTATATGTAATAAACTGTCAACTGCACCTTTTTATACATCAAATGTTAGTGTTTTACAATAAAAGAGAAAATCAACAGGCAAAATAAAAGAACAGTAAACCACAGCAGGTACTACTGTTCCTCCCATCACTTGAGTTCCCTCCATCTTGTTCATGAAAGTGACTCTGATTGAAGCAGGATGGAATCAGGGATTTGGAAAACATATGGTTGCTAAATAAGATGAACTCAAGATTTCATAATATAAAAAATGCTTTTGAGGTAATAACTCACAGTAAGGTAGACCTCTGACAGTACAACCTTTACTGGAGAATGCAGGTTATCCATCTCTCACTGATGCATGGAGGTGTTTAACAGTTACAAGAAACAATTTTTTTGTTCTCTTTGACCGTGCTTACTGTGCTTATTTCCCTCTGCAGCATCACTCCTGCTAAAGAATTACCACGGGGGTTACGTTGTCATCCGATTGGCTCTTGCAGGCCACAAACAAGCGAACAGACCCTTTTATCGCATTGTGGCAGCTTACAACAAAAGGGCAAGAGATGGAAAATATTTAGAGCAGCTGGGCACCTACGACCCCCTCCCAAACATCTACAACGAAAAACTTGTCAGCTTCAACTTTGACCGAATAAAATACTGGATCGGCTGTGGTGCACACCCTACAAAGCCAGTGGCCAAACTTCTAGGTGTGTATTCACTACATAAACGTGTTCTTCTAAGGTGGATCAACATTGCTCAATGTTATTTTAGGCTTGTCCTGAGAATTGTTCTGCTTAAAGTCGCTTGTTTAATCAGTGAGGTTCATCCACAACTTTTATAGCACCACACCTTTTACGTAATATTTATCTAGAAATTCACTCCTCTGTCTGTGTTGACTATTCTTTGAAACTTTGAATTGTTTTCTATATTATCTGCAACTATAAATGATGATTGGTACTTTTATGGGTTAACCGTGCCCTGAAACACCTCATCCATGCACTCTGTTTGTAAAGCATTGTACAGATACTGATTAAACAAGCATCCATGTATTACTCAGCTGGTTCCCCAGAAATTGGCTGTAAGGAGATAAAATTATCTTTAAATTTTAATGTATCAGCTGTCGTTCTAATAGATTACGGCAACTCCAGGCAATGTCTCTAGTTTGTTGGAAAAGCTTGTAGTGAAAGATGTGGTTTTCCTCTCCCCTCTTTCTTTCCGTAGGGTTGGCAGGATTTTTCCCTCTGCACCCGATGACAGTAACAGAGGCAGAGCGTAAAAGAGCCCAAACGGTCCTGACAGAAACAAGAACAGAAGATCTCGAGGAGGTTCAAAAGGAGGCTGAAGTGTGAGAATTAAAGCTGAGGACTGTGTGTGACTGTCCAGAACAAAAGGATGTCGCAGTTATTTGGAGAAAGAACAGACTGATTGGTTTCCTAACTTGTTGGGTGGACTGTTCATAGCAACGTCAGCTCCATAGCAGCTATGAACAATTCATATTAAAACTGATTCAATAGCTTCATGTGATGTTGGTGAGAGTGGAGTGCGATAACAGGCAGTTGTTTGTATTTACTGTTTTATGTGATTTAAATAAAGTATTTCAACATTGCATTGTTTTGAGGTTAGATTTTCTCCACTGTGCTCTGTATAACTCTGACCTTTAAAGACGCAGCAAGAATGTCAAGAAATTTGTTTTGTTTGCTTTTATCCTGATTCATGAACCTACATTTATTCCTCCTTCTGTAGGTCTTCTTTCTTTTTTGACCAGCATACATTTGAATGTGCACACATGAATCAAAAGTGAACGTCAGTAATGTCAAACATTAACAAGGAAAGAAAGAAATGAGAAGAGGGTGGGTTTGTTGATACGATCATTGGCAAGCTTTACAGCACTTAGTTCCTCTTTGGCTCAATAGCAAATTGTCCACCCTTTTACCTTTGTATACTGGAAAATGTTCACGGAAAGATGTCACATAATGTTTGACTATATGTTTAGAAACGATAGTGTTTAGTGTTTCAGAGGAAACCACCTAGTGACATTTCCCCTATTACAGATTTAAGATAAGTTCACCAAGTGTGTCTGGGTCATGCTGTCAGCTCTAACTTGTACTGATGATCACCAAAATGCACAATAAATCATACTCACAGTAAATAATCAGTTTCAGAATAGATTTTAGCTGATTTACATGGGGGAAAAAATCATAATTACTATCACATTGATCTCTCTAAAGCATAATCACACACACACGACCACAGGTCCCACAATATGACAGTTACAGTAGCTTTGAAAATAGAAATATGGGGCACTGACTTTGATTGCATTACTGTTTATCAGACCACAAGAGGGACAAGAATTAGGTTGGAAAAACAATAAGTACTTGAGTGGGGGACTGGACCTCAAAAACACAACCTTATTACTATATATATATTTATTTTATAAATTAACTCTAAGATGGGCTGTGGAGTTCACTATTAAACAACAGTTTTACAGATAATTCCATGAAGTACCACAAACACAAATCAAATTGAAATATAATTCATATCAGGTGATTTTTCTTCAGTATAAACTGCTGTCCACTGTGCCTGTCACTTTCCTATCCTTGCATGCTTGTTCTATCTTGAACAGGTCCATATTCCAAACAACAAGTGTCGTTTGTGTCAGTCAGGGAGTGATAAGAAGACTAATTTGAGCCAAGACACACTGAACAACACCCAGGTGACAAATGAAAGTGTTGCTGCTATTAACATTGCTGGATTTACTTTAGGATTGTGGAATAAAATTCGCTATTATTCTTTAACATGTTGACGTACTGAGCATTTCCAAATTTAACTGTAATTACAAAGTGGCAGGGCAGAAATTTTGTTACGAAATTATTCCAGTATTGCGTTTTATTATGAACAGGAAAAATATATATTGCTGCGTGACATTTCATAAATGATTTTCTAATAAGCAAACAGAGGTGTGGAGAGCTTTACCCAAACCTCTTGTATCTTAAAGATCAAGAGGAATATTTGTGTTTAACCTCGTCAGAGCACATTGTTCCTGGTGCTATTGAGACTATTGCTGGGATCATGTTTAACAGTCTATTTATAACATCTATTCAAATTGCTATGTTGTCAATATGTTGCTCAATGTAACTCCCCCTAGGTTAGAGTCATGTGACCATCATCATGTCCAGTGATGTCAGAGCATGAAAATATTGGATTGAAATAAATGTCAACAACGTAACATGAAAATATAGCAACTAATTAAATAAGTAAAGAGCATATATATATATATATCTATATCTTTATCAAGATATAGATATATAGAGAGAGAGAGAGAGAGAGACATATATACATATATAATTGTATATATAATTAACTTATAATATACATTCTTTATAATTAACTTATTAAAATAAAATGCACTCTTAGTGAGCATATTGGTTCATACACTATGTATGTGACCCTTAGCACGTACTGTATGAAAAATGCAAGGAATTGCACAGTGCATATTAAATCTCACTGGTGGCATTGAAAATGATGATACATTGGGTAAGTATTTTCTTTCTAGAATCACACCCACCCTCAGCTCACCCACTCACACCTTAGTCCTTGTCCACTTCAGCATCATCATGATCTGAAACTTTGAAAACAAGCATGTATAGGGTGTGAGTGTACTTTCAGGGAACTTAAAATATTGCTGTAACACCATGTGGCAATACATAAAACAGTTTGCTTAGGGAGGGAACTATATCAGTAAGAACTTCAGTTTACCAGTTGATCATTGATACATAAAGTAGATCTGATACTGACAGACAACTGTTTATATGACGAGAACTGCCAACAGGATCAAACTTAACTACAAATTCACCAACAAGTACTAGGAGAGATTATTGAAAATTGAAGAACATCTAAATTATTCTGCTTCATTGTACTGCATGTGTTCATGGAGTGAAAGACATTGCAGCAGGTGAAGTATTTCAGGGTTACATCTTTTGGATGATTACCTGAATGCATGGGAAAATGAAAAAGTGGATTTATTTGGGTTCCTGTAATCGGAGGAGGCTTTCCACCATTCTTCTAATCCTTACATTAGTGGTCATCGTGCTGATTGCAGTCTGCGTATTCTTTACACAAAAAGGAGGTAAGTCTGGGATTTGTGTTATTCTTATCAATTTACTGAAGAATTATTTTGAATGTAACCATTTTACCACACTTTTATAATATTATATATATTGTTAGACTGTATATTGCCATTACATGTTATTTATTTAAGTATTGACAGTTCTTCAAGAATAACAACAATAAATGCAGATAGTACAAATAGAAAGACTCTGCTCCTCACTGTTAACTTGCACCCAAATCCTCAAACAATACAGGTAATTTGTATTATTATTGTTTTGTATTATTATTATTGGAACATTAATGTAAATTTTGAATACTACTTTAAATGGTCATTCATGAATTGTTTTAATTTATAAGTCCCCTATCTAGTAATGTTTTATTGGATGTATTTTAGAAAGCATATTCAAAAACTTTTTCAGAGAAATAATTTTTTAACAACCTCAGATAATCTTAGGCTGAAATTTAAATTTTTTTTTAATAGGTGGAACTTAACTTCCATGAAAGCAATACAGTTCATATTAAAGGGAAATAACTGATACTGTGGACTGATTGGCATATTCAGTTAATAATTAAAGAAACTGCATAGTGTAAGATTAAAAACATTACACAGACATTAGATATGTGCCCGAGATAAGTAACATATGACCTATTAAACGTTGACAGAAAGGATATTTATTTGATGTGACCTTAGTTATTATTATATAGAACTGAGTCAAAAAGCCAACTTCTGCACTGAAGATAAACAAAGTTAACACCGGCCAAACGTGAACCAATAAGATTACGTCATGATTATTTGCAGAAATAATTGATTATAATTTCTGGAATAGTTCCAAGGAAGCATGGTTAAAATAAAATTTAAAATGAAATGTTACCTTTGTTTTAACTTGAAAATTAAATTGTGGTGAAAGCTGCTCTAGCTGCACTGGAAAATATATTTATCATGCACAAATATTCTCTTTATTAACAGGTAATCAAAATGAAAAACAAGATCAACCTGACAAAACATGGACGAAACCACAGACAGCAGGCAACCATGAAGGAAAGAGTCTATCAAGCATTAACATGACAAATGAATCGTCAGACATTTTGCAAATTAGGACAGCATTAAATGACACTGACCAGCAATATATAACTGAATTACTACATTTTCAGCAAATGAGCAGCACGTCTACTGAGTCTGATACAAATAGGTCAACTTTGCCTTCTACAAAATCAGTCCCTACTGACACTGAAGCCGTCCCTACTGACTTAACCCATATTACGAAATCAGTAAGCAGTATGGCTACAACAATTCCTTCTGATAAGACCAATTTCACTCAAGAAACTCAAGCACGAGAAAATACAACATTACTAACAACTAAGAACAAAACACAGCTTCCAGCAACAAGCAACGAAAAAACAACAAAGATCTCCTCGCACAAAGAGCAACAAACTACATTGACTATTAAAGTAACAGCCACAGCAACAACTGACTTAACAGCTTTGACCTTGACGCTCACCACAAATGGAGTTACAAGACCTTCCAGCACTGATCATTCCTCAACAACCATCACCTCATCAACAAATGCAGAGGTCTCCACAAATTCACAATCTACATTCGCTACTCACTCCACTCAAACATCTACGGAACACACAAGTTCATCTTCGATACTAAGTACCAGCAACACTCAGCCTCCATCAACCAGCCAGGAAACATCTGCAACAATGATGTCCTCATCCACAGAGCCACAATCTACATTCACTACTCATTCCACTCAAACATCTACTGAAGACACAAGTTCAACTTC